TTATGAATTCTATATTTTTGCTAAATAATAGAAAAGGCTGTGTAGAATAATGTATTGCATGTAATTTATTTCATAATATGTTTGTTATAACTTGTTGCTATTTTTTAACGGCATCATACCTTATAAAAAGAGGGTGCTGTTGCCCTTTCTCTGCCCCTCGTTACTGGATTCAACAAAGAAGATGCGGTTTGAACTTAGTTGTCTCTAAACCTGGTCACACCCAGGTTACAATCAATGAGTTAATCGCCATAGTAACCGAGTCAGATTCCTGAGTGGGCCAGCTTTATGATTCCTAAATGGCAACAGAATAATTCAGACTAGGCAAACTAAGCCTGACTTACAAACTAAACCAGTTTTATAAAACATAACTCTGGTTCCATGCTTTTGTGTTTGGCTTTGTCTCTTTCCCGTAGAAAGTCACTGACAGGACTATTGCTGCTAATTAATGAAATGCCTTTTTTTTTATTTGAAAAATCTCTTGAACAGAGTTTCTGCTATCTATTTTTAGCAGATGGATGCTCATGCTTCCTCTCCTCCTGTTTGGCTCTTTTTAAACCAAAGAAGGAGTGGATCCTCTCCACCGTTGCCACATGCAGAAGAAATTGCTTTAAAGTCAACCAATGGCAGCTGCAGCAATTGTCTGGGCTTCCTAAGATGGATAACTTTTTTTTTTTACCACTTAGCTTTTAAGAGCAGAATCTATAATATATGAATTTTATTAGGATGAATTCTGTTCCATATAACAAGGTGTTTTATTTTTTTATTGGTAATGAATATCACCACCAATAAGTGCTTTTAGATAAATATATAATAACAAACACTTTCAGTTAAAGCAATCCTTTGCTTTTTCATTGGATTACTTCCCTAAATTTTTACAAGTAGTTAATGTTTTTTTTTTCATCTTTTTCTTTTCATTGTGTTGGATTTAATAACCTTTGTTGCACCAATTTCCATATATATCAACATCCCACAGAAAAATGTGTATTCATTATTTTCTGCAACTGAAAAATAAAAATGAAACTGTGGTTCTTTAAAAGTAAAAACAATTTTCTCAAGCAGATGTTTGTCAAAATTTATGTCTCTTTCCAAACACATGCAGCATGTCCAGCTTTATTGGAGTTTTATTTAGCTAGACTGAGAGCAATAGGTTTTTTTTATTTTACAGTTTGCAGATTCCTGCTACAGATATATCCTAAAGTTTTCTTTCTCTTTTAACTCGTCTTAATTTAGAAAGTTTCACTGTGAGCACTGATTAAAAACTGACCAAACAGTATTGACTTTACAAGCCGTCAAATCTAAAATTCATCTTTGTATTTTCTTCAGCTTTTTCATCTGTTCATTTATTCAACCTTGACTGGTTGAATAAAAGTAAATATGCTTGCAGTGACTTCATCATTTTTGACTCATCATTCTGTCCAATTTGCTCTTGCATGCACACATCGTACACTTTGTCACTTTGAACATTTGTTCCGGTTTCCTGAGAGTATATTTCCGAGGCGTAGGAGTTATTCTGTCTTTTCTCATCTTAAACTTTTCTTATCTTAAACTTTGGAGGACTCTTAAGGAGTTATTTTAACTCCCTATAATTAAACTGGCAGACGTTATATGTCAGTTTTGTGGTGTTATTTGAGTTTTTGGTAAAGGTCTCTTGTGAAAATATTACAAAAGTAGCATACAGCTGAGACCAGAATGACAAACAAGACATAAAATGTTAATTCAAACTTAAAAAAAAAAAAAAACTTAAATAAAAGCGAGGCTTCTAAGCCAGTTTATAATTTAGATCTCTGAATCAACCTGCCACACACTGGATCTTCTGTCTGGATGCAATAATGGTTAGCTTGAACATTTCTGAAAAAGAAAAACTTAACATGAAACATTGAGATGGCTGGGGGAGGCAGATTGTGCAGCAGCAATTCAAATGTGCTCTGCAGTCCAATGAAGTGGAGATGAATAGAAAGCTCTGATTAAAGGTTAGCTGTATGATGGCTTGGAGAGCTGTTGCACTTCAGAGCCTTGCATCATCTGCTCTGACAGCACCATTCTTAAATGAAATCCCTATCTTCCGTTCATCTTTTAATTGCAGTCATGGTTCAAAACATAAAATGAACAAACCTACAAAGCATTTGCTCTCTGTCCAGGTTGGTGGGAAAACGAGAACTAGATTCTTTCTGGAACAGGTGTTTGGCTGGTTTCTGCACTCTGAAATACATTTTTTTTTTAGATCATCATATCAACAATGATCAGCCTCTTCTGAAGCTCTTCTGGCTCCAGCCTGCTCTGCATACCTAGAACCAGAACTAAACATGGAGAAGCAGCATTTAGTTCCTATGCTCCACTTATCTGGAACAAACTTCCAGAAAACTGTAAAAGTGCGGAAAGCCTGAGTTCCTTTAAATCAAGACTAAAAACACATTTGTTTAGGTTTGCCTTCGACTGATTTAGTTAAACAGTTCAACTAAAACATATTTTCTTTAGTACAACTGTTTTTAATATTCTTTTTTGTTTCTGCATTTTTTTATTTTTTTTTTTTTTTTCCTACTTGCTTTAACTCTGTTTTATCCTCCTGTATTTTAATCATGTAAATCACTTTGCATTGTCTTTGTACTGAATTGTGTTATACAAATAAATTTGCCTTGCCTTGCCTTTTACCTCAGGTAAAATGGAGAGAGAAAAATCTTTACACTTATTTATGTTAGGAACACTTGCTTGTGTTAAAAATGCTTTGCTTCATTGCACGCTGAACTCCTTATGAGATATATGAAGGTAAACATATAACACAGTGAACGGTACCATATTAATATAGACACATCAATTAGAGATTGTTGCAAAGCTGAAGCAATCTGCTGTGGCTCCTTAGGTAAATTGTTTTAGGCGACTTAAATAAGGTCCTTCCTTATCATCCTTTTAAGTAAACGGTAAGCCCATTTTCCTGAAATGATTACTTTGCCGCTCCAGCTCTCTCACTTGTACCTTTTGGCTTCACACTCTCTTTTTTGGTGTGTTTATTTGTCACAGCACTACCAATGGGCATAGGATAAACATTACAGTGTTTTCACTGGTGAGACATGCACGAGCGCAGATGCACAATTTTTCTAAGTCGGAACCATACTGTTTGTGTATCTGTGTAGCTAGAGCCTTAATAAGTCATAAACCAAAATGCACAAAGAAAATAACACAAGAAATTCAGCACTAGGAATTAGCTTGCATGGCGAGCACTATCTAACAACAATAAACAATTATAATGGATCAAAATATGAATACAAGTTAGAACCTAAGCTAAACAAGTAGCTGTGGATTTTATTAGTAAATGATAACTGCCAGTTTATTAATGTATATTTGCCCTAGTCTAATAGTTGGATGCCCTTAATCTTATATGAGTAAAAAGAAATTCTAAGAGATCATGAATTGAAAAAGCTTCCTGGATGGGAAGGGATACGTCTTAAAACTTGGAAACAAAGTCTAGTGGATAGTTTTTATTTTTTTGGAATGACTATGACCTGGATAACGGAGAATCTTCGCCAGCATAAGAGATCGTGATTTAATCAGTATTATTATAGAATTAGAAAAGGCTTTATTGCCAAGTAATGTTTTACAAGCTTGAGAATTTCTCTCAGTGAAAAGCTGCTTCACTTAGACAAATTTACTACTGACTTAAACAAACTTGTAAACATATAATTTGATATAAAATATGCAATATTTATAAAATATATGTTAAACTGTAAAATATATATATTTAATCTATATTTAACTGTAAAATAGTGCAATTTTTTGAAGATAAAAAAGCACAATTGCAGAACTTAAAAATACGTATCAACAATATGAATTAAAGGTATAGGAGGAAGTTATTTTTTCCTCACGGATCATCTAAATAAGTGGTCCTCCTAATTGTCAATCATTATGGTGATATGTTTACATAATAGTGGAAAAATTGCAAACCTTATTTTGGAAAGTAAGCTTGTATGCATGATACAAACAGCAACTTTTAAACAGAGCGTGCACAAGGAGAAATTGACATATTGCAAGCTCTCACACACCTTTATTAGGTGTTCCCTCTCAGGAGCAGGATTGTTTTTTTTTTAAAGTGGAGAGTCATTACAAAAATTTGCGAAAATCCTCCACAATACCTTTAAATGAAATAGTATTTACATTTGCTGACAGAGATATTTGCATTTGTTAACAGGATTAGTTGTAGGCGGTAAAACGTTGGAGAACAAAAATGCAGAATACCGACTATAGGAGGCGCTGTTTCTTATGTGTCAAGAATGCTCTACATATTTTCACTACACAAAGCGAATATAAATTAATGAGTTCATATTCAAGTTTTTATCTTTTTTTATAGAGTAAAGATATAGATCAAAGCTTCTACTCAGCTGTTTATGGCCACTAAGAAGAAAAATGCTTGTTGTCCTCTCAATTTCGTTTAGAAATTTTTATCATTTGGTTTTTGATTAGAAAGTCCAGTTAAAATATACCCCCATTAAAGTCAAGTTATTAAAAAAAAAGAAAAAAAAAAAAGTATTCTTATTTTAGGTTTCTGACACTGTTTGTTCCAGGTAGTTTTCCTCAGCAGCAGTGAACGCATCACGGGCCCCTGATCCATTGATCCACAGATCCAGGCGCCGGTGGGACTCCTTGCTGTTTCCACGCCCACTACTTTCACTCCCATTGTGGTGAATCTCCGGCTCTCACACACTTTGAAAGACTTCCAGGAGTTGGAGCGACGGCAAGAGGAGGATCAACGCTGAAAACGGAAGAAAACATCATAAACACATCTACTACCATGCATGGATTTACCTCTTTAATTTGGGGACCGTAAAGGGGGCGCGATGGTTTGCCTTGCTGGGAGAACTTGAGGCTCTTACCGCGGAGGAGGAGGGGGGGCATACTCTGCTATAAAGTTGCAAAAGAACTTCCCTTCAAGTTCTTGTTTTTGTTTGTTTGTTTTTTTCCCCCCTCGCCACCACTTCAGCGGTCCACACTCCGTGTTCCCTCCTGCCACCATGGCGAGGCGGACTGCGGAGCCTCGGACGCCGATGACTGGCGCTGCTTTCCGGGATAAACAGCTTCCCGTGCGCCGCCGCGCGCTGCTGCCTTTCCCCTGGCGCCTAGTTCTGGTTTGTTGGGCTCTCTCTGGTGGATACTGCCAAGAACACACGGAGTTCTCTATCCTGAAAGAAGCGCAAGTTTTGGCGGAGCAAATGAAAAAACTGTCCTCGGAGGAGCTGGGAGTATTTACGATGCAGGTAGGAAGAAAAAAAGAAAACAGCAGAAAATCTATAGTTTTTTAATAATTAGTTAATTGTTAACTAATGTGGAGCTCCTTGCATGCGCACTAACCGTGTTTAAGGAAGCGTTGGATTGTTATGAAACAATAAGCTGAGGCGTTGCAGCGCTGAAGCAATGCTTTGAAGTTTGGCTGCATTAATGTGGAGCATCAGCATAGGGTCCTTCCTTCAATCTGAACGAGGAATAGCATCAGGAGACATTCTGCAGAAGGGCCTGCCACCAAATCAAAGAAATAATCCGTGTTTCTATGCATTTAATCATCTGTTATCCAGTGGCTTTAGTTAACAGTCTGCTTTAAATGCTCTGCTCTGTCCTAGTTTAATCACAAATAAGGCCAATTCACCCCTCACCCCAACAGAGCTATTCAAACTGCCTATAAATGTGTTTATTGCGGAGATGCAGCAATCAAAGAACGCGCAATTGTCCAGTTGGTCAACTTTTCTGCACATGTGGAGTTAAGTATAAAAATGGTCTGTGTCATCAGATAGAATTTTAGATCTTAAAATCAAACGTGCATTTAAAACAGATTTAAATGCATGTGTGGTCTTCAGAGTTTCTCCTCCAGGAGATGCATTCAAGGAATGTCCTTACATGCATCAAAATGTAGAAGGATCCTCTATTTCTTCCCAACCAACAGCAGCTGTTTTAAATAGGTTTTTACATGTGGTTTGATGCACCGCTGCTGGGGTTCATTTTGAAATTCCTTCATGTTCAGTTTGATTCAAAAATGATTGTTTCTTCAGCTGAATCTGCTGCACGTATTTCCATTTTACATTGTTAATGGAAAAGAACAAAAACATACATTTCAATTACTTAAAATTACAAAAGAAATGAGGCTGATGAGTGCTTTTCTGGTTTTGAGCAATTGGATCAATTTCAAAACGCATATAAAAAATTATGGTGCATCCATTTTCTTTTACAGTTTAAAAAGGTTACTGCCGGGTGTGTTTTAGAAATGCACAAATCCAGGCTAGATGGGGGGCCGGGGGTGGCCATGGCCACCCTTAGCCAATCATTGGCCACCCCTACCATTTATTTCCCTCTAATACAGATGGTGGCCGCACTAATACTCTCAATTGGAATATTCCAAAACAAAACAAACAAAAGATTACTTTACAACAAAAACACTGGTTGATTCTGCACATCAATATACTAACATTAAAGATAAGTACAGAATGCATGCTCTTCAGAAATAGATTTTGTTTTATGGGGTAAAGAGAAAATGTCTCTGCAAATCATAGATAAATAACTGTTTTAATAAAAAATTATTAAATAATCAATTTATGTAGATATTAGTACTTGTAAATGTCAATTTTATTCGGAATGATTACTGATAAAAGTAGGTAAGTAAACAATGGAAAAGACGTTCGCTCAAAACTCAAACCTGAAAGAATTTTATCCACTATGCCTTTTATTTAGCACAGATGTTTAAATATATATGCGTCTATTTGTTAGAAAAGGCTGTTGGAAAGTATAGTTTTTCTTTATTTAGAAAATATGGATGTTTTGCTTGTTAATATTCCTGTTGGAACAGTGTAGATTGACCGTGAGGTTTTGGTGCGTATCTACTTCTGGCCACCTCTCATTGTACATTGGTTATTGCCTTGCCACCCTTATTAAAATTTTCTGGCTAGGCCTCTGGCAAGCAGTGCAATCTCTCCCATTAAGGTATATTCTTTCCCTAAAAAAGTAGTTTGATTCCAGCAGAAAATCCAAACTGCACCAAACAACAGCAACAAGCTGACAGAACCAAATAGGTTCAGGATGTTGGTGTTATGTTTTACTCCATTTATATGAACAGCAAGTTCTTGACCTTCTTGTTTTAGAGATAAACTGATGTCTATCAAGTGTAATCTGTTGATTTTAGAGTTTGAAAGAAAAATTAAAGATCTATAAAACATGAAAGGGGAAAACGAGAGTTGAAAATGAAGGATTCACAGGATTATCCCTATTTCTGAATCAAACAATGGTGCTGATGTGTTTGGGTGCTAATGTTGGGAGTTTTTAGTTTCAGCGCATTTAATGAATAGGAATAGGGATCTTCTCTGTCCTAACTAATTAATTGGTATTTTTTAAAGCAGTTATCAGGCATGAAAAACCTTTTAATTTCATTGCAGCTGTGGCTTATTGGAAGCAGACCGTATGAACACCTTCAAACCAAACCCTGTCGTGTCCATCCATGCAGAGTGCTATAAACACACCAAATGGCAGGGTGCAGGGGTGGTGGTTGCTGGGTGGATTTGAGGCATTTGGGGGTGTTTTGCACTTCAGAGGCAGAGGAGCTCACAAGCCTGGAGCACAGAGGCAAGGCAGCAGTGGAGGAGGGGGGGACTAGGCCCCAAATGTTGTTTCATCTCCTCTGCCTCCTCACTGAGCTGCCTTCATCCCAGCACCGGGAGTCGGCTTTGAGGGCTTCCTCTGATCCCAGCAGATCCGCTGTTGTCACTGCTCATCCCCTCCCCAAGCCCCAGTTTGTGCTCCCTCTCTTCTCTCCCCCCTCCCTGACTTATTTTTGCAGCTTTGTCTCTGCATTATTCTTGTTTTTTTCTTCCTATAAATACACAGAATTAGTGGCTGTTTTTCTCTCAAATAATACAGAAGCCGTTCTGTCGACTACAAAGACGCGATTAATTAGAAGACAATTTTAGCTTTTGTCAGTCTCCGTTTAAACTTTTATGACTGATTTAAAATTTATAGCAAAAAAGTGGCATTCGGCGTCACTCCGATGTGTCGGGGGAAGCTCCCCAGAGCTGTCATGTTGTTGCATAAGCTGTGAGAATCCGTCTCTGCGGGAAGCTTGTCTGACTGATTGAGATGCATTTCATGCAGACACGATCGGAGCACTTTTGTTTTGTACACAATGTGGAAATTCCAGTTTTTTTTCTTCTTCCTCTAAATGTTTTTAACTGAGCAGTGTATAAGTTTGCTTTTAGTCACTCCCTGCAGTTCCTCACATGCGTCGCATGTGAGAAAGCAGCTGTCCAGATCCGAGTGGATGAAAAGCTGTGTGGACTTGATCCCATGAGCTTTGTGGTGCAGTCTGTTCTGTGTCCCAAAGATTTATGCTAAATAAGAACAATGTTTGCTTTGTTAGTTATGTCTTTTTAGGCCAAAGATATTTCAATAATTGGTAATATTTGGATGAATTGTAGCTTCACTTTTCAATAATGCAGAGGTTGCTACGCTCCCCATTAATTAGTACAAGATAACTAAAAATCTGAGCTTTTCTTTTTCTTCTATATGTTGCTGCTTCTTGCAGATTCTTTCCAGGTAGTAGTTCAAAGGAATGTTTGACCCCTAAATATTTTCATACTTTGTGATGCTGCCACTATTTTAATATATTTCACACATCAGAATGTGCTGAATTTTGAAATGAAAGGAAAAGTTGTTTAATTTTTTTTTTTGGTAACTAAAAAATCATTTTTATTTGTAGAAGAACTCCACTTTTACAATACAAATTAGATGTTCATTAAATCTGCCAAATTTCTAGATTATTTTACATTACATCCTTTTATTTTAAAACTTAAAGTCGTAGTGAAGTCATATTTAAATGTAAAATCATTCTGGCTTAAACATGTATATAAATGTATTGTCCCAAAAGTTAAAATTATTTCTATTTTTAAAAAAATCCTGTCTTAAAATCTGTGTTCTTTTTTTTTTATTATCGTATGCAGGCCAGTTAATTATACGTCAGCTGGTACACCTAAATTCGGCCAATCAAATATCAACGGTCATCTGTCAATCAAATTTTTTTCGGTCATAGCATCTTGATTCATAAGTCGCAGCTAATGTACGCAACGGTTGAAATAAGAATCATTTAGTTTCCTATTGAGTTCCGTCCCAGTGTTCACGGGCATGGACGTCTTTGTCTTCAGCAGGCGTAGAGCTAACAGAGCGTTGCGAACTGTCACTGTTGCGATGCAAGGGCTCAAACATATACGGCTGTAAGCCTTCTTCACCAAACCAAGCTTCTGCCGCCCTGGCGTCCTCTTCCACAACAACTTCGTTCCCACTTTCCTCCTCTGAATAAAAAATGTATGATGGAGGAGACTCATCCGTGACCTCTGACTGAAACTCTCCTCCTCTTGCATGTTTCCGCTGTCGTTGCTAAGTGCTACTTGGTCCCAATGTAATTTCCCTTTGGGAACCTGCTAGCACTAAGTTGCGAACTGGTTAGCAAGATGCTTCCAACAAACTGGCCACAACCAAACTTGCTTGCGAACCTTCCGCCACAACAATCCGCCCTCTTGATAAACAAGCAATCACATTCCCTTTATTCACTGGTGTAAAGTCGTGCACCACTCGGGAGAATTTGGAAATGCAACTGTTCGAACAGCCATATCCCTACGACTTTAAGGCATTTCAGCATTTTAACTTGTATATTTTTCTGAAATAAATCACTCTGGTATGTATGTAGAGATGCTGGTGAAGATTCTCAGTCATCCATGTCTATAGTCATTCAAAAAAAACAACAACAAACCAATGGACTTTGTTTCCAAATTTAAAGACGTTTCGCTTCCCGTGACCAGAATGTTCACATTTTGGACAAAGAGGATGATTCCTTCCTGCTATCATCACAACCCCCACCCCCTTACAGGGGAACACCTCGCCTGTTTAGCCATTCCAACAATTGCCTTTAACGACCCCCCATTTAAAGACAATGCCGGTGTTGGGTATTACAGGCAAGAAAGAAAGAAACCAATCGACCCCCGTTCCATAGAGGCGGACCTATTCGACCGTTTCAATTTGCATGTTTTCTAAGCCAAAACAAGGCTTTGTTTTTGGTCCACCCTATAAAGCCTTGAACTCAATGCTATTTCTGACATTTTGAATTAAAAAAGCTTCCTGGGTGGGAAACGAAACATCTTCAAACTTGGAAACAAAGTCCAGTGTTTTTTTTTTTTTTACTTTTTTGGAATATATGCAGAGATGTTTAAATCCTGTTATTTGTTTACTT